GGGGAGTGGGGGCTGGTGGTTAGAACAGGCGGGGCTGGGAGCCAGGACTCCTGGGGTTCTCTCCCCCCAGCTCTAGGAGGGGAGTGGGGGCTGGTGGTTAGAACAGGCGGGGCTGGGAGCCAGGACTCCTGGGGTTCTCTCCCCCCAGCTCTAGGAGGGGAGTGGGGGCTGGTGGTTAGAGCAGGGGGTGCTGGGAGCCAGGACTCCTGGGTTCTCTCCCTGGTTTGGGGGGGAGAACAACTGTGGGGTTAAAGGCCCTAGTCAGGGGGTGGCCCCACCACCTACTGCTGGGGGGGGGTGGCCCAACATACTGCTGGGGAAGGTGCCCCCTCCCTGAAAGGGGTGGGTGATGTAACTCCCAACACCCCTCCCTCTTGGTAAGTGTGTAAGGGAAGCCCCCCCTCCATGGGAGGTCCCGGGGGATTATTTTATGGGGTGGGGTTGCCAGGGGTCCAGGCAGTACAGCAGACTGGACACTCCATGTCCAGTCGGCTGCAGTAACTGGCCTCTGCCCCTGGGGGGCACGCTGAGCCGCAGCACCAGCTGGACGAGCCGCTTCTGGACCTGGGGTGCCTCCACGGGGGGGGGGACGGGACAAGGGCAACCCCCTCCCCCCCCACCAAAGATCCACAAGCATCTGGATTTAGGGGGGGGCGCGCTCACCTCCCCCACAGCCCAGCCTCTTGGGAAGGAACCCAGCAGTCCGGGTCGCCAGCGCCTGGTGTCCTTGGCCAGCTGGGGGGGGGTGAGATCCCAGGCAGATGGCTGGTGGGGGGCAGGGAACGAACCCAGGCGTCCTGACTCCAGCCTTCCCCCCGCCCCCCCACACGGTAAATCCAACCACTCCCCTGCGGCCAAAGCACGTTCAAGGATCGGCCGGTTGGGGGGGCGGTTGTGTGACACTGCGGTACCCCCACCCAGCAGCGGAAACTCCCAGCATGGGGGTGGGGAAGGGAAGAACCCAGGAGTCCTAGGAGTCAGCCAGGGGCTGGGGAAAGCCCCCCCACCGCCTACTACTACTACTTCGCAAAGGAGGCAGATGTTGTGGCAGCCCCCTTTAGCACCTGGGGAAACTGAGGCAGGGCCCCCCCTTTCCCGATGTGGGGGGAATCCCGGCACGGTTGGTGCAGTGTAAACAGATTCCACAGGAAGAACAGGAGGACTTGATGCTCACGCCACCACTGGGGCGGGCCAGGCAGCCCCATGCTTAGGGTGGTGGGTCCCCCTCACTCCACCCACTGGGCACCTGCCTTTTTTGTGGGGGGTTTAAACACCCCTCCCCCCCCCGGGAACCGGCGGAGAGATGGCAGGACAAAGACACCAGCTCTCGCTCGGGCGGGGGCAGGAAATATCTACAAACTTTAATTCCACGCGGGCGAGAGACGCGCACACACACAAAATGGGGTGGGGGGTCCTCGCCCTGGCTCGACCCCGCTGGGCGGCATGAGAAAGCGCCCGAGTCCAGCGCGGGACACGCGTTGGCATGGGCTGGGGCCGCACCGCGTCCAGTTCGTTATTGCTAGATAGAAACCCCACGTCCGGCCCGGCGGCTAGCCGGCCACCAGGCTAATACTGCCCCGGCCGCGAGGTCCGTTTCCCTTTTCTTCGGAGGGGCGTGGGAGGGGGGAAAACAACCAATACGAAGATAAGGCAAATTTTGTAGGAAACGCCCCCGCGGTGGATAATAAACGTCTGTCCAGTGGCTGGGCTCCACCGTGGGCCAGAGGAGACTTTGGTTCGGCCCGGCCCCCTGTAGAGTCCGATCACTCTGGGGGGGGGCTGGGTGTAAACGCCCCCCCCCGCCCCAGTCGATGGCGGGGGAGAGAAGCGAACCGGGGAGACAGCCCTTAGCTAGAAAGGTCCGAGAGCGACGAATCACCGAATACATTCTTGTGGCAAATTCAAACACGAACGGTGGCTCCTGGTCGCCCCCCACCTGAGCCCAGTCCAGGGGGGCAGCCCGGGATTGAGGTGAGCCGGCTGCTGCAGATCCCGGGGCGCCGGATTGTCCCCCGCTGCGCCAAGAATCCCAAGGGGGCGGGGGGGCTCCCAGCCAGATGCAGGAAGCCGTCAGCTCATTGGTTCCCCGGCAACCTCGCTGGCCCGAGACGCCGGACCCTCGCCCGCGGGTGGGGTTTCCGTGACACAGCAAACGGGTGGGGAGTAAATCCTTCGGCGGCCTATTGCACGCTGGCCGCGCGGAGGCCACTACAGGCCAATACTGACTGATGGGGGAGGGGGGTGAAAAACCGGATCAGGTCACATCCAAATCCTGTGTCCTTTGATCCATTGACCGGGTGAAGGGAGGAAAGACCCCCCCCTCTCCCCGCTAACACAGTAACCATGGAACCTCACAGTATTTGTTGTAGGGCCTACCAAAACCAAAGAGGTCCCTGACCCCAAAAAACAACCCCAACCTTTGACATACATCTTAAAAACAAAACAAGTGTCTTTGCCATTTGGTCGATTGAAAAATTCATAAACCACGAACGTTTAAAAAACAAACGGAAACCCAACGGGTGGGGGGGGTTAACCCCCAAAGCTGCACTGGTTTGAAAAAAAAAAATACAAACACTTGGGGGGGGGAAGGAAGAACACACGCAAGAAACTGTAGTTCGGCCATTCGGCGTGCCGCCTGCCACGCGGCATTCACAGCGCAGTTCCTGGCTTGCCACAACCGGGGAAAAGCTGCATGTCATCTCGCGCGAAGGCCGGGAGAACTTTCTCCCCTCCTGCCCACTGATTTCCAATGGGATAACTTGCCGGGGGGGGGGAGAAGTAAAATAAAAACGTCTCCTCCTCGGGAAGATTTCGACTCGGAAAGGTACCCTGTGTAGTGGCTACCGTCCCGTGAGACAACGCCCCAGAGACGGTCTGTAAACAAAGAAACAACAGATCCATACGCGCAATTAAAAAAAAATATTCAAGCCCAAATTTAAAAAAACGAAAATGAACAAACGAACGACTTCTCCCTCCCCTCCAAAATCTGTACAGCTGTATCAGAGAGTGAAATCTCTCACCTCTGCGGGTGGGGATCGGTCACAGACAAGTCAACTGGGTCTCGGTTTGTCAAAAATCTCTCAAGAGAGCATGACTGGAGCTTTATTGACGTGGATCCGGGGTGCCGGGAGGGGCCAGCGGATTTCGTCTTTCCAATTCTTGTCCAAAGATACATTCATAAATGGGTGCGGGGCGGGGTCAAGCCCCCCCACCTGCCGCACGCACAAAAATGCTCCTCCGTCCAAAAACAAAAACCAACTGCCCCCCCACACGGGCCATTGGGATGGGGGCGCACGTCTAACGAGGCGGGGGAAAGGCAAAATGAATGAGATGCCCAGAGAGCTTAAAATAAAAAAGGGGCCTCTCAACCCCCCCCTTCCCCCCCAAAAAAACATGTGCAGAAGAAATCATCTTCCTTTCAGCTGGGCAGCGACACAATTCACAGGAGGCTGGCTTCACAGGGCGGAGCTTGTGGGGGAAAATCCAGCCAGGCAGGCGGAGCTTGTAGAAGAAATCCAGCCGGGGAGGCGGAGCTTGTTGCAGGGAGTTTGCAAGGCCTGGAAGCTTGCAGGAAGCCACCCGAGACGTCTGATCGGCCAGTAACGGGGGAGCTCCGAGGCGTCTGATCGGCCAGTAACGGGGGAGCTCCGAGGCGTCTGATCGGCCAGTAACGGGGGAGCTCCGAGGCGTCTGATCGGCCAGTAACGGGGGAGCTCGGCCGTGGGACAGGAACTGGCAGGAAGCCAGGAGAGCTTTGCAGGTTAGAAGCTCTCCCTAAGCCAGGTGAGTAGCCGGAGCTCGCAGGAACCGGCGGGAAGAGCGCCCGGCTCCGGCGACTGCAGTCAACCGCCGTGGTTAGCGTTACTCCTCCCAGGCCAGCTCCGTTGCGGCCGGGCACCACCAGGGAAGGGGAAGTCGGTTGTTTCGCGGTTGTGCAACTTTCAAAAACAACAACAAAAAAAACCAACACGCAACGTGTCTCTTCCAAAAAAGAGAAAAACAGACATGGCCTCTTGGCGAGAGCAAATCTCCAGAACGGAGCTCTGTATCTAGCGATATTTACATCCGGCTCCACCGCGTGAGGCAGAACCAGGCCAGCTCGCGGAAAGCGGGCTGGGCGATAAGTGCATTTCTTCAAGTTTTGCTATTTTTGTGTTTTTTTGTTTTTTTATGAAATCTTCTCTTTTCCCCTTCGCGAATTTTCACGTCTCTCCTCGTCCCCGTGTGAAAATAACAGTGTTTCCTAGAGCGATTTTTTTTGTTTTTTTTTAAAGTTTCTTTATAAAAATTTCCTCCAGAATCACCAAAAAAACCTTTTTTTTCTTTTTTTTTTAATCAGTTCTTTGTAAAAAGTCTTGATAAAGTGCATCAGCGGGTTGCATTTTAAGGTGCTTCGTGTGTTGGAGAAAGAAGTGCTCACACATACTCCTCTTCCGAAGGCGGGTCGCCGGCGCCCCCTGATCCGAGCGCGCGCGTCACCCTGCCCCCCCGCCAGCCCCGGTGCCCCCTGCTCGCTGGGGGGGCGGAGGAAAGGGGAGGGCCCAGCACGGCCGCCTCGTCCTTTCGCAGTGCACATTCAGGTAAGACTGAATCGGTTAAGAAGGCAGCAGAGTTCCTATTGCTACAAGACTTCAGTAGTCGTCAATGCTTTCCACCTCGCCGGCCGGACCATGCAGCGAATAGCCTGGGGGCAGAGCGGGGCACGAGGGGTTAATCGGCTACACGGACCCCCCCCCAGTCTAACCCACCAGCCCCCACGCCCCTCCCAGAACTGGGGAGAGAACCCAGGAGTCCTGGCTCCCAGCCCCCCCTGCTCTAACCCGTCAGCCCCCACTCCCCTCCCAGAGTCAGGAGAGAACCCAGGAGTCCTGGCTCCCAGCCCCGGCTGCTCTAACCCACCAGCCCCCACTCCCCTCCCAGAGCCGGGGAGAGAACCCAGGCGTCCGGGTTCCCAGCCCCCCCCACCAGCCCCCACTCCCCTCCCAGAGCTGGGGAGAGAACCCAGGAGTCCTGGCTCCCAGCCCCTGTTCCCTTCCCGGCACCGGGGAGAGAACCCAGGCGTCCGTGCCCCACCCTACCCAGGATGCTGGGGTCAGCGTGCAGCATGATCGGTCTCCTCTTGATCTTCACTGGCTGGCTGCCCTCGAAGGGCGGCTGTTTGGTGCCGTGGTTGGCCGGGAACGGGGAGGGCAGGTTGCCGGAGCTGAGCCACGAGGCTTCCTGGTGGGAAGGGGGGAGGGATTAGTGTGGAGCCCTGCCCCTTGGCAAGCCCCGCCCCCCA